GGCCCCACATGGAGCTGGAACCCCCGGCTGTGCCCCTGCACCTCCTAATTCATCCCTGAGCTCGTTGGGAGCTGCTCAGACTCTGATAACATTTGATGGGGGCAGCAGGACCTGGAGCAGACCTGGAGCCACCAACCCCCCCAGTCCCACCCCAAAAGCAGCCCCGAGGCCCCACACGGAGCTGGAAGCCCCGGCTGTGCCCCTGCCCCTCCCCGGGACCCGGCTTTGGCAGGAAGGGCTCACAATGGGCTTTGTGCTCTCGGTCATTACTCAAAGAGCCGCTCGGGGCAGCTCTTGGCTCCAACCCCCGCGTGTGTCGGGGCCTCCCTGCCCCGAAACCAAACAAAGCCGGGGATGAATCACCGGCTTTATCAGCGGCTCGGGGAGCTCAGGTTACCCCAGAGCAGCCTCAGGTCCCGGGGGGAGCCGCTCAGTGCCCGGCCCGGCCCCAGCCCTCTGATAGGGAGATAAAAACCCCCGGGCAGAGCAAACAGAGCGCCCAGAAATTCCCGTGTGTGCCCAAACAGGGTGTTCCCCGCTGGAAAAGGGGAGTGGGCGCCGAGCCCAGGAGGAGGAGGAAGGTGTGGGGCCACCCCAGCCCTGCCCTCGGGCTCTGCATCCCCCCCTTCTCCATCCTGGGGTTGATTCCTGCTCCTCCTCACCCCACCTTCCCACCTTCCCGTCGGGATCACATCCCTCACAACATCCCTCACAACACCCCTCCTGCCCCGGTGGGACTGGAATCCTTCGGGATGAGCGGGACAAACACCCCCAAAATGCTTCACCAGGTTACTGGGACAGTCACCCCAAAATGCTTCACCAGGTCACTGGGACAGACCCCCCAAAATGCTTCACCAGGTCACTGGGACAGCCACCCCAAAATGCTTCACCAGGTCACTGGGACAGCCACCCCAAAATGCTTCACCAAGTTACTGGGACAGACCCCCCAAAATGCTTCACCAGGTCACTGGGACAGCCCCCCCAAAATGCTTCACCAGGTCATTGGGACAGTCACCCCAAAATGCTTCACCAGGTCACTGGGACAGTCACCCCAAAATGCTTCACCAGGTTACTGTGACAGCCCCCCCAAAATGCTTCACCAAGTTACTGGGACAGACCCCCCAAAATGCTTCACCAGGTCATTGGGACAGTCACCCCAAAATGCTTCACCAGGTTACTGTGACAGCCCCCCCAAAATGTTTCACCAGGTCACTGAATCCTTAGGGTTGAAAAGGAGCTCCAGGGTCCCCAAGTGCAGGGGTTGTGTCACACCCACAGCCCTGGAACACCCCTGGAATCATGGAATGCCTGGAGCTGGAAGGGACCCACAGGGGCCATCAGCTCCATGGCCCTGCACAAGGGCTGAAAATCCCACTGATCCCCAAATCCAACTCCTGAGGGCGTTTTCCAAGCCTGAAAATCCCACTGATCCCCAAATCCAACTCCTGAGGGGGTTGGCCAAGCTTGAAAATCCCACTGATCCCCAAATCCAACTCCTGAGGGCGTTTTCCAAGCCTGAAAATCCCACTGATCCCCAAATCCAACTCCTGAGGGTGTTGTCCAAGCCCTCCTGGAGCTCTGGGGCCGTGACCAAACCCTAGAGAGCCCGTTCAGAGACCGACCCCCCCCGTGGGGGAAGAACCTTTCCCAAAATCCATCCCAAACCCTGGGGAGCCCATTAAGAGCCCCACCCACCTCTGGGAAAAGAACCTTCTCCAAAATCCATCCCAAATCCCGGGGAGCCCATTCAGAGCCTGACCCCCCTCTGGGGGAAGAATCTTTCCCAAAATCCATCCCAAACCCTGGGGATCCCGTTCAGAGCCTGACCCCCCTCTGGGGGAAGAACCTTCCCCAAAATCCATCCCAAATCCCAGGGAGCCTGTTCAGAGCCTGACCCCCCTCTGGGGGAAGAACCTTCCCCAAAATCCATCCCAAATCCCAGGGAGCCTGTTCAGAGCCTGACCCCCCTCTGGGGGAAGAACCTTTTCCCAAAATCCATCCCAAACCCCCCCGGCACATCTCCGGCCGTTCCCTGGCTCCTGTCAGGGGTCACCAGAGGGATCAGGACCTGCAGCTCCTCACCTGGGCCTTGGCACTCTCGATCTCCCCCTGGAGCCTCTGGATCACCCGGTTGATCTCCGTGATCTCGTTCTTGGTGTTCCTCAGGTCGTCCCCGTGTTTCCCGGCCGTCACCTGGAGCTGCTCGTACTGGGAGGGGAACAGAGACCAGGATGGGGTTAATTAGCAGTCAGGATGGGGTTAATTAGTGGGATAAAACCTCTCGCCCTCATGGCACACGGGATACAGGGACTGGGAGAGATGTGGATCCTGGAATCAGGGAATGGTTTGGGTTGGGAAGGGACATTAAATCCCATCCCATTCCACACCCTGCCCTGGGCAGGGACACCTCCCACCATCCCAGGGGGATCCAACCCGGCCTTGGACACTTCCAGGGATCCAGGGGCATCCTCTGGGAAATCCACTCCAGGGCCTCCCCACCCTTCCCAGCCTGGAATTCCTTCCCAAGTCCTACAATGTTCTCCCGAGGCACCTCGGGAAGCCCGGGACATTCTCCCACTTGGCACAGCCAGGCTGACCCATGGCTGGGCAACGCTGGGAACTGGGAACTCAATCCTGCCTGGAAGGGACTTTGGGGTCTTTTCTGGGGGCTGGTGAAGCTCCTCCCCTGCACTGAGGGGCTGGGGAGGCCTTGGAATGTGGGAAGGAGGCATCCTCAGCATGGAATCCTGGAATGGGTTGGGTTGGAGGGACCTTAAAACTCATCCAGTGCCACCTTTCCATGGGCAGGGACAACTCCCACCATCCCAGGGGGATCCAACCCGGCCTGGGACACTTCCAGGGATCCAAGGTCATCCTCTGAGAAATCCATCCCAGGGCCTCCCCACCCTCCCAGCCAGGAATTCCTTCCCAAAATCCCATCTCTCCCTGCCCTCTGGCAGTGGGAAGCCATTCCCTGTGTCTGTCCCTCCAGCCCTTGTCCCCAGTCCCTCTCCAGCTCTCCTGGAGCCCCTTCAGGCCCTGGAAGGGGCTCTCAGGTCTCCCTGGATCCTTCCCTTCTCCAGGGGAACATTCCCAGCTCTCCCAACCTGGCTCCAGAATCAAGGAATCCTGGAATGGGTTGGTTGGGAAGGGGCATTAAAGGTCATCCCATCCCACCTTTCCATGGGCAGGGACACCTGCCACCATCCCAGGGGGATCCAGCCCGGCCTTGGACACTCCCAGGGATCCAGGGGCAGCCACAGCTTCTCTGGGAATTCCATCCCAGCCCTCACTGCCCTCGCAGTCAAGGATTCCTCCCCAATATCCCCCCTAAATCCCCCCTTTCCCAGTGGGAAGCCATTCCCTGTGTCTGTCCCTCCAGCCCTTGTCCCCAGTCCCTCTCCAGCTCTCCTGGAGCCCTTCAGGCCCTGGAAGGGGCTCCAAGGTGTCCCTGGATCCTTCCCTTCCCCACCTTGCTCTGGTACCAGGCCTCGGCCTCGGCGCGGCTGCGGTTGGCGATGTCCTCGTACTGCGCCTTCACCTCGGCGATGATGCTGTCCAGGTCCAGGCTCCGGCTGTTGTCCATGGAAAGCACCACCGAGGTGTCGGAGATCTGGGCCTGCAGCTCGTTGATCTCCTGCAGGGAAAAACGAACATTCCACCCCCCCCTGTGATCCCTGAGTTCGGAAGGGCCTCTCCTTTGGGAAGCGGGTGGGAGGGAAAGGGGGGCAGAGTGGGAGGATTCCAGCCAAGGCATCAACAGCCGGGAGGATTCCATCCAAATTGTCAATAGTCAGAATTCCATCCAAATTATCAATAGTCAGAATTCCATCCAAATTATCAATAGTCAGAATTCCATCCAAATTATCAATAGTCAGAATTCCATCCAAACTATCAATAGTCAGGAGAATTCCATCCAAATTGTTAATAATCAGAATTCCATCTAAATCGTCCATAATCAGGAGAATTCCATCCAAATTATCAATAGTCAGAATTCCATCCAAATCATCAATAGTCAGAATTCCATCCAAATCATCAATAGTCAGGAGAATTCCATCCAAATTGTTAATAATCAGAATTCCATCTAAATCGTCCATAATCAGGAGAATTCCATCCAAATTATCAATAGTCAGAATTCCATCCAAATTATCAATAGTCAGGAGAATTCCATTCAAATTGTTAATAATCAGAATTCCATCCAAATTATCAATAATCAGAATTCCATCCAAATCATCAATAGTCAGAATTCCATCCAAATTATCAATAGTCAGAATTCCATCCAAATCATCAATAGTCAGGAGAATTCCATCCAAGTCATCAATAATAAGAATTCCATCCAAATCATCAATAATCAGGAGAATTCCATCCAAATTGTTAATAATCAGAATTCCATCCAAATTATCAACAATCAGAATTCCATCCAAATTATCAATAATCAGGAGAATTCCATCCAAGTTATCAATAATTGGAATTCCATCCAAATTGTCAGTAACTGGAATTCCATCCAAATCATCCATAATCAGGAGAATTCCATCCAAATTATCAACAATCAGAATTCCATCCAAATTATCAATAATCAGGAGAATTCCATCCAAATTACCAATAATCAAAATTCCATCCAAATCATCAACAATCAGAATTCCATCCAAATTATCAATAGTCAGAATTCCATCCAAATCATCAATAATCAGAATTCCTTCCAAGCCATCAATAATCAGGAGAATTCCATCCAAATTGTCAATAATCAGGAGAATTCCATCCAAATTATCAACAATCAGAATTCCATCCAAGTCGTCAATAATCAGGAGAATTCCACCCAAATCGTCACTAATTAGTAGAACTCCATGCAAATCGTCACTAATGAGGAGGGAGCCGACCCTGGGAAGCCCAGAGGAACAGAACCCAGCGGGAATGGAGCTCCCGATCCCCCATTCCCGACATTCCCGGCTGGTCCCAGGCCCGGGAGCACCAACCCAGGGCCAAATTCCAGCCCCTCTCCCGAGGAGGGTCCGGCTCAAACAACCCCTGATCCCGGGGGAGCTGCAGGAGCCTGGGACCGGCAGCTTCCCGTTTTTCCAGACCCCAAACTCCCCCCGCCCTACAGCGCTCCCCCTTCCCGTGTTCCCATCCCGACCAATCCCGCCTGTCCCGGGATTGTTTGCAGCGAATCCCCCTCCCACCCCGGCCGGGGGAAATCCCTGGCACAGCCCAGGGCGATTCCAAGGAATCCCTTCATTCCAGGCTCTCGGGAAGGGGCGAGCCCCGTCTCCGTGGCCATTCCCACCCCTGGGAACAGCACACGGATATTCCCAGCCCCCTTTCCCACCCCTGGGAACAGCACACAGATATTCCCAGCCCCCTTTCCCACCCCTGGGAACAGCACATGGATATTCCCAGCCCCCTTTCCCACCCCTGAGAACAGCACACGGATATTCCCAGCCCCCTTTCCCACCCCTGGGAACAGCACACGGATATTCCCAGCCCCCATTCCCACCCCTGGGAACAGCACACGGATATTCCCAGCCCCCATTCCCTGCCCTCCTTTCCTCACCGCCTCTTGGAAAGCCCTCAGGAAGTTGATCTCGTCCGTCAGCGCGTCCACCTTGGCCTCCAGCTCCACCTTGTTCATGTAGGCAGCGTCCACATCCTAAAAAAACAGGGATAATCCAGGGAACTGGGAAGCTTTGCCGTCGGAGTCCAGCCAGGCTTTGGGGGCTCCCAAACGAGGCTTCCCGAGGCTCCCCAGGGACACGCCGGGGCCTGAACCCGATCCCTCGGGATCTGATTCTGCCGGTGGGGAGGATCCTGAGCATCCCCAGGGACTAAACCCGATCCCTTGGGATCTAATTCTACCAGTGGGGAGGGTCCTGAGCATCCCCAGGGACTAAACCCGATCCCTTGGGATCTAATTCTACCAGTGGGGAGGATCCTGAGCATCCCCAGGGACTAAACCCGATCCCTCGGGATCTGATTCTGCCGGTGGGGAGGATCCTGAGCATCCTGAGGATCCCCAGCGACACACTGGAGCCTGAACCCGATCCCTTGGGATCTGATTCTGCCGGTGGGGAGGATCCTGAGCATCCCGAGGATCCCCTGGATCCCTGTTTGCTGGACAGGGAGACCTTGGGAAAGGTCCCAAAGGAAGCTCCAGGTAAAGGAATCCCCCTGGGATGTGGATCCGCTTCCCTGCGCCCGGGGGGACCTCGGGGGCTGCTGGGAGCTGCCTTTGGAATTCTGAGGATGGAACCTTTGGAATTCTGAGGATGGAACCTCAGGGGCTCGGGCAGAGCTGGAGGAAAGTGGGAGTAGGGACAGAAGGAAACACGGAGTAGGGACAGAGGGAAACACGGAGTAGGGACAAGGAATAAACATGGAGTAGGGACAAGGAATAAACATGGAGTAGGGACAAGGAATAAACACGGAATAGGGACAAGGAGTAAACACGGAGTAGAGACAAGGAATAAACATGGAGTAGGGACAAGGAATAAACACGGAGTAGGGACAAGGAATAAACATGGAGTAGGGACAAGGAGTAAACACGGAGTAGAGACAAGGAATAAACACGGAGTAGGGACAAGGAATAAACATGGAGTAGGGACAAGGAGTAAACACGGAGTAGGGACAAGGAATAAACACGGAGTAGGGACAAGGAGTAAACACGGAGTAGGGACAAGGAGTAAACACGGAGTAGGGACAGGGAGGGCAGAAGGGCTGCAATCCCAGGAATGGTTCCCTGTCCCTGGAAGTGTCCCAGGCCAATTGGAGCCCCTGGGATAGCGGGAGGTGTCCCTGCCCATGGCGGGGGGTGGCACTGGATGGGATTTAAGGTCCCTTCCCACCCAAAGCATCCCGGGATCCCACGGTTCCCAGGATCCCACGATTCCCAGGATCCCACCTTCTTGAGCACCACGAACTCGTTCTCAGCCGCCGCGCGCTTGTTGATCTCGTCCTCGTACCTGCCAAAAAAAAAAGGGGGATTTCTGTGAAGTTGGAGCCTGGATGAAAGGGAAAGTGTCCCCATGAAGGGCTATCCCAGTTCTCTTCCCTCTCCCCCCGTTTTTGGGCCTCCCGAGGCTGGAGGTGCCAGCTCCGGCCCTGAGCTCCTGTTGGGATGAGCTGATGCCTCAAAGCTGGAGAGCATTCCCCACCCTGCTTTCCCACATTCTTTAAAACCCCCTGTGCTGCAGGAGATTCCTGCTCCTGCTCCTCCCTCCTGGAGGGCTGCAGTGTCCCAAAGTGTCCCAAAGTGTCCCCAAGTGTCCCCAGATCCCACAAACTCCTCTGTGCCCATCCGAGCCTTCCCGACGCTGCTTCCACTCTGCACTTCCCCCTTCCAGGCTTTTGGGAATATCCTGCAGGAGCTGAGCAGGCGCCACCGGCCCGGGGAGAGCTGAGGGTGGGTGTTGATCGTCCTCCCTGTGCTCCAGAGCCCCCCCAGACTGAGATCCCGGGACATCCCTGCTTTGGGGGAGCACCTGAAGGTCTGCAGGGATTCCCCTAAAGATCTCCAGGTGTTCACCTGAAAAACTCCAGGTGTTCTCCTAAAGATCTCCAGGTGTTCCCCTAAAGAACTCCAGGTGTTCCCCTAAAGAACTCCAGGTGTTCTCCTAAAGAACTCCAGGTGTTCTCCTAAAGAACTCCAGGTGTTCCCCTAAAGAACTCCAGGTGTTCACCTGAAAAACTCCAGGTGTTCACCTAAAAAATTCCAGGTGTTCACCTAAAAAATTCCAGATGTTCTCCTAAAAAATTCCAGATGTTCACCTGAAAAACTCCAGGTGTTCCCCTAAAGATCTCCAGGTGTTCCCCTAAAGAACTCCAGGTGTTCTCCTAAAAAATTCCAGGTGTTCACCTAAAGATCTCCAGGTGTTGACCTAAAAAACTCCAGGGGTTCTCCTAAAGAACTCCAGATGTTCTCCTAAAGACCTCCAGGTGTTCCCTTAAAGATCTCCAGGTGTTCACCTGCAGATTTTGGGATGTTCCCCTAGAGATCTCCAGGTGTTCCCCTAAAAACTCCAGCTGTTCACCTAAAGGTCTCCGGGTGTTTCCGTACAGATTTTGGGATGTTCACCGAAAGAATTCCAGGTGTTTCCCTAAAGAACTCTGGCTGTTCCCCTATAGATTTTGGGATGCTCACCTAAAGATCCCCAGGTGTTCCCCTAAAAGCCTCCAGCTGTTCACCTAAAGCACTCTGGGTGTTCCCCTACAGATTTTGGGATGTTCCCCTACAGCTCTCCGGGCGTTCCCCTGAAGATCCCCAGCAGACAAACCCCCCTCTCTGCTGCTTTTCCTGGAGAATCCCGGATTTGCAGCCCTGGATCAGCTGCCCCTGCACCCCCCCAGCCCAACCAGCTGCTCCCGGGATCCTGAAAGTCACCCCGGGAGCGGAGCGGGAACCACCTGCCCCGCTTGTTTGGGAATTGCTGTTGCCGGAGCAACGCCCTTTGTTGACACAATCCCTGGAATTTGCCTTCCAAAGGAGCTCCCTCGCCCTCCCGGCCCCTCCCCTTCCCCCCGGGATCCGTGGACATTGTCCCTCCGGAGGTCACTGAACCGCAGGCAGGGAATTGCAGGGAATAAACGCCGGGAATTGCCGGGATTGCGGCACCCGCGGACACGAGGGATGAGCAGAGAGAGGGAAAAACACAGAATTCCTCCTTTCCTGGGGGAAGCTCCACCAAGATGGGCAATAAATCGTGGGATCATGGAATGGGTTGGGTTGGAGGGACCTTAAACCCCATCCCATCCCACCTTTCCATGGGCAGGGACACCTCCCACCATCCCAGGGGGATCCAACCTGGCCTTGGACACTCCCAGGGATCCAGGGGCAGCCACAGCTTCTCTGGGAATTCCATCCCAGGGCCTCCCCACCCTCCCAGACAGGAATTCCTTCCCAATATCCCCCCTAAATCCCCCTTTCCCAGTGGAAGCCATTCCCTGTGTCTGTCCCTCTAGCCCTTGTCCCCAGTCCCTCTCCAGCTCTCCTGGAGCCCCTTCAGGCCCTGGAAGGGGCTCCGAGCTCTCCCTGGATCCTTCCCTTCTCCAGGGGAACATTCCCAGCTCTCCCAACCTGGCTCCAGAATCAAGGAATCCTGGAATGGGTTCGGAAGGGGCATTAAATCCCATCCCATCCCACCTTTCCATGGGCAGGGACACCTCCCACCATCCCAGGGGGATCCAACCCGGCCTTGGACACTCCCAGGGATCCAGGGGCAGCCACAGCTCCTCTGGGAATTCCATTCCAGGGCCTCCCCACCCTCCCAGCCAGGAATTCCTTCCTAAACCATTCCATATTGTCCCGAGGTACCTCGGGAAGCCCCTGGACTCTCTCCCACCTTGGCACTGACCCCCGTGGGCAGTGAGACCCCAACAGGGTCTGGAATTGCTGGATGAGGGGCTGGATCTCATCCCCTGGAGCCTCCTGTGCAGAAATCTCCTCCTCTCCCCCCCGAATTAACTGGGAATTCCTGTGGGAACCAGACCCACGGAAAAGGGGGAACGGGAACCTCCGGGGCAGGTTGTGGTTTGGGTTTCCTGTTCATAAATGGGATTCTCCCCACGGAAAGGGGGAGAAGCAGATCCTGCATTCCAGGTGCTGCATCCCTGCTCCCTCTGCTCCCAGTTCCCGCTTCCCTTCTCCAGAGGGTTTGACTTCTCATGGATATAATAAATGTGCACATGGATACACTGGAAATGTGCCCCTGGAATCCACGGGAAATGGGGCTGAAATCTGGGATTGAACTCCCCTGGGAACCAACCAGGTCTGGCTGTGGATGAGCAGGAGCAGGGAGAGAAACCCCATTCCCAAGCATTCCCAGGAATCTCCAGGTATTGACTTTCCCTAAACACACAGAAGGAATTTCCGCTTCCCTTCTCCAGAGGGTTTGGCTTTACATGGATATGATAAATGTGCACATGGATACACTGGAAATGTGCCCCTGGAATCCACGGGAAACGGGGCTGAAATCTGGGATTGAACTCCCCTGGGAACCAACCAGGTCTGGCTGTGGATGAGCAGGAGCAGGGCCGGGACAAACCCCATTCCCGAGCGGTTCTTTGGGAATCTCCGGGTATTGACTTTCCCCGGCCACGCCCTGGGGATTATCCGGGTTGTTTGTTGTCGGTTCCTGCCCCATCCAGTTCTCCCGGTGCCTCCCATTCTTCCCTTCCCTCCCGTTCCAGGCCTGGCCGGGCTGGGCCGGGCTGGGACAAAGGGCCTTTTATTCCCGGGCTCCTCCCAGAAAAGTGGCTGAAAAAGGGCAGGGCAGCTGCTCCATTCCCTGCCCCTGGAATGGCTGGGATCACCTGCCATCCTGCTCCATTCCCTGCCTCTGGAATGGTTGGGATCACCTTCCATCCTGCTCCATTCCCTGCCTCTGGAATGGCTGGGATCACCTGGAATGGTTGGGATCTCCTGCCATCCTGCTCCATTCCCTGCCCCTGGAATGGTTGGGATCACCTGCCATCCTGCTCCATTCCCTGCCCCTGGAATGGTTGGGATCACCTGCCATCCTGCTCCATTCCCTGCCCCTGGAACTGGGGAGGGTCACCTTCCATCCCGCTCCATCCCTGCCCCTGGAATGGCTGGGATCACCTGGAATGAGCCAGGACCACCTTCCATCCCGCTCCATCCCTGCCCCTGGAATGGCTGGGATCACCTGCCACCCTGCTCCATTCCTGGGATCACCTCCCAGCCTGTGGAACCCACAGGGCTCCTCCAGCTCCAAAGTTTCCCTTCCAACCCCAAGGAGGCCCCAAAAGCAAAGCCAAGAGTTTGGAGACCCTCGACCACACGGGAACAAGGAGCAGGAAGAACCCCGGCAGCTTCCCTGCCCTGAACACCGAATTCCTGGCTAATTCCTGGCTGGAAAACACCTCCCTCCCTGGCAGGGAGGCCGGGGAACTGCTCCATTCCCTGCCCATGGAACAACCAGGGATCCCCAAGGAGGCCCCAAAAGCAAAGCCAAGAGTTTGGAGACCCTCGACCACACGGGAACAAGGAGCAGGAAGAACCCCGGCAGCTTCCCTGCCCTGAACACCGAATTCCTGGCTAATTCCTGGCTGGAAAACACCTCCCTCCCTGGCAGGGAGGCCGGGGAACTGCTCCATTCCCTGCCCATGGAACAACCAGGGATCACCTCCCAGCCTGCTCCATTCCCTGCCCACGGAATGAACTGGGATCACCTCCCAGCCTGCTCCATTCCCTGCTTCTGGAATGAACTGGGATCACCTCCCAACCTGCTCCATTCCCTGCCCACGGAATGAACTGGGATCACCTCCCAGCCTGCTCCATTCCCTGCCTCTGGAATGGCTGGGATCACCTCCCAGCCTGCTCCATTCCCTGCCTCTGGAATGGGCCAGGATCATCAGCCAGCCTGTGGAACCAACGAGGCTCCTGCAGCCCCAAAGTGCCACTTCCAACCCCAAGGAGGCCCCAAAAGCAAAGCCAAGAATTTGGAGACCCTTGCCCATGTGGGAACCACCTCCCAGCCTGCTCCATTCCCGGGAATCACCTCCCAGCCTGCTCCATTCCCGGGAATCACCTCCCAGCCTGCTCCATTCCCGGGAATCACCTCCCAGCCTGCTCCATTCCCTGCCCACGGAATGAACTGGGATCACCTCCCAGGCTGCTCCATTCCCTGCCTCTGGAACGGGCCAGGATCACCTGCCAGCCTGGGGCTCCTGCAGCTCCAAATGCCACTTCCAACCCCAAGGAGGCCCCAAATGCCACTTCCAGCCCCGAGGAGACCCCAAAAGCAAAGCCAAGAGTTTGGAGACCCTCACCCATATGGGAACAAGGAGCGGGAAGAACCCCGGCAGCTTCCCTGCCCTGACCACCGAATTCCCGGTTGGAAAACACCTCCCTCCCTGGCAGGGAAGCCGGGCAACTGCTCCATTCCCTGCCCCTGGAATGAATTGGGATCACCTCCCAGCCTGCTCCATTCCCTGCCTCTGGAATGAACTGGGATCACCTCCCAGCCTGCTCCATTCCTGGGAATCACCTCCCAGGCTGCTCCATTCCCTGCCCATGGAATGAACTGGGATCACCTCCCAGCCTGCTCCGTTCCCTGCCCCTGGAACAACCAGGGACCACCTGCCAACCTGTGCAACCCACAGGGCTCCTCCAGCTCCAAATGCTGCTTCCAGCCCCGAGGAGACCCCAGAGTTTCCCTCCCAACCCCAAGGAGGCCCCAAAGCAAAGCCAAGAGTTTGGAGACCCTCGCCCACACGGGAACAAGGAGCGGGATCACCCCGGCAGCTTCCCTGCCCTGAACTCCTCACTCCCGGCTGGAAAAGCCCTCCCTGGCAGCTGGGCTGGGGGGGTGGGACACGTTACTTGTTCTTGAAGTCCTCCACCAGGTCCTGCATGTTCTTGAGCTCCCCCTCGAGCCGCCCCTTGTCCCCCAGCAGCCCGTCCAGCTGCCGCCGCAGGTTGCTGATGTAGGTCTCGAACATGGGCCCGATGTTGCTCCGGGTGGTTTTCTGGTCCTGCAGGAGGGTCCACTTGGTCTCCAGCATCTTGTTCTGCTGCTCCAGGAACCGCACCTGGAAAGGGAACCCGGCATCAGTCGGGGAAAGGGGGGGGAAAGGGGGGATGAGCCACGAAATTTGGGAGGGCTGGGATGGGGCGGGGGGTGACCCAGGGGTGTGAGTGACCCAAGGGTGTGGGTGTCCCGAGGGTTTGGGTGTCCTGAGGGTTTGGGTGTCCCAAGGGTGTGGGTGTCCCAAGGGTGTAGGTGTCCCAAGGGTTTGGGTGTCCCAAAGGTGTGGGTGGCTGGTGGGGAGCACCAGAGGGGGTGTCCCAAGGGTGTGGGTGTCCCAAAGGTTTGGGTGGCTGGTGGGAAGCACCAAAGGAGGTGTCCCGAGGGTTTGGTGTCCCAAGGATTTGGGTGTCCCAAGGGTTCTGGTGACTGGTGGAAAGCACCCAAGGGGGTGTCCCAAGGGTTTGGGTGTCCCGAGGATTTGGGTGTCCCAAGGATTTGGGTGTCCCAAGGGCATGGGTGGCTGGTGGGAAGCACCAAAGAATGTGTCCCAAGTGTTTGGGTGGCTGGTGGGGAGCACCCAAAGGGGTGTCCTGAGGGTGTGGGTGTCCCAAGGGTTTGGGTGTCCCAAGGGTGTGGGTGTCCCAAGGGTTTGGGTGTCCCAAGGGTGTGGGTGTCCCAAGGGTGTGGGTGTCCCAAGGGTTTGGGTGTCCCAAGGGTGTGGGTGTCCCAAGGGTATGGGTGTCCCAAGGGTGTGGGTGTCCCAAAGGTGTGGGTGCCTGGTGGGGAGCACCAAAGGAGGTGTCCCAAGGGTTTAGGTGTCCCAAGGGTTTGGGTGTCCCAAGGGTGTGGGTGGCTGGTGGGAAGCACCAGAGGGGGGTTGGAAGGCCCAGAGCTGCTCTGGGCCCAGGTTTGTGGCTCTGGGGCTTTCAAGGGATTAAAGATAAGCAGCTTCTGCTCCCTTTTCCAGACTCTGCCGGGCTGACACTCCACAGAAACCACCACCAGACCTCAGGCTCGGACAGTTCCTGCAAGTCCAGGGCGGGATTCCGGACATTTCGGGGATGCCAGAGCCGGGTTTACACAAGAGCAGGCGGTGCAAGGCGGGGAGGGGGTGCAGGGCAGCTCGGGGAGGGGGTAAAGGACAGCTCAGGGAGGGGGTGCAGGGCAGCTCGGGGAGGGGGTAAAGGACAGCTCAGGGAGGGGGTGCAGGGCAGCTCGGGGAGGAGTAGGGCAGCACAGGCACACCCAGCAGGCTCTGCTTTACCGGTCTCTGCTTTACCAGTCTCTGCTTTACCCAGCTCTGCCTTACCCATCTCTGCTTTACCCAGCTCTGCTTTACCCAGCTCTGCTTTACCAGTCTCTGCTTTACCAGTCTCTGCTTTACCCATCTCTGCTTTACCCAGCTCTGCTTTACCAGTCTCTGCTTTACCCATCTCTGCTTTACCCAGCTCTGCTTTACCAGTCTCTGCTTTACCCAGCTCTGCTTTACCCAGCTCTGCCTTACCCATCTCTGCTTTACCCAGCTCTGCCTTACCCATCTCTGCTTTACCCAGCTCTGCTTTACCAGTCTCTGCTTTACCAGTCTCTGCTTTACCAGTCTCTGCTTTACCCATCTCTGCTTTACCAGTCTCTGCTTTACCCGTCTCTGCTTTACCCAGCTCTGCTTTACCAGTCCCTGCTTTACCCAGCTCTGCTTTACCAGTCTCTGCTTTACCCAGCTCTGCTTTACCAGTCTCTGCTTTACCAGTCCCTGCTTTACCCAGCTCTGCCCTGCTGGAACAACCTTCCCCTCCCCGAATTCGGGGCTGGGCTGGGGAGGGAGCAGATTTTTAAACCCTTCCCCAGGGTTTGGGGAGCAGCAGGTCCAGGAAGGGGCACAACAAAGCCAAGGTGGGCAGGGCAGGGCAGGGCAGAGCAGGGCAGGGCAGGGCAGAGCCCTTTCCTGAGGCAGAGCCCTTTCCTGAGGGCAGAGCCCTTTCCTGGGGGCAGAGCCCTTTCCTGGGGGCAGAGCCCTTTTCTGGGGCAGAGCCCTTTTCTGGGGGCAGAGCCCTTTCCTGAGGGCAGAGCCCTTTCCTGAGGTAGAGCCCTTTTCTGAGAGCAGAGCCCTTTCCTGAGGCAGAGCCCTTTTCTGGGGGCAGAGCCCTTTCCTTAGAGCAGAGCCCTTTCCTTAGAGCAGAGCCCTTTCCTGAGGCAGAGCCCTTTCCTGAGGCAGAGCCCTTTCCTGAGGTAGAGCCCTTTTCTGAGGCAGAGCCCTTTCCTGAGGGCAGAGCCCTTTCCTGAGGGCAGAGCCCTTTTCTGAGGCAGAGCCCTTTTCTGAGAGCAGAGCCCTTTCCTGAGGCAGAGCCCTTTTCTGGGGCAGAGCCCTTTTCTGAGGTAGAGCCCTTTTCTGGGGCAGAGCCCTTTTCTGGGGCAGAGCCCTTTTCTGAGGCAGAGCCCTTTCCTGAGGTAGAGCCCTTTTCTGAGGTAGAGCCCTTTTCTGAGGGCAAACCAGCAGGGCTTTGAGAAACCCAGGAACGAGAGGGATTGGGGTGCAGAGGGTGAGGTCCCCCTTCCAGCTGGGGGATGGACCCCCCTGGCCCCTTCCAGTTGAGAGACACACCCCTGGTCCCTTTACCAGCTGAAGGACAGACCCCTGGTCCCTTTCCCAGCTGGGAGATAGACCTCTGGTCCCTTTTCCATAGGGGGACAGACCCCTGATCCCTTTTCCAGCTGAGGGACAGACCCCTGGTCCCTTTTCCAATTGAGGGACAGACCCCTGGTCCCTTTTCCAGTTGAGGGACACACCTCAGTTCCCTTTTCCAGCTGGGGGACACACCCCGGGTCCCTCCACCAATTTGGGGACAGACCAAATCCCACCACGCCCTTAAGAATTTATCCCACCCCATCCTTCAGGGTTGATCCCGAGCCTGTTCAGGATTTCCCAGCCGGGTTAAGCACATTTTGGGTCCCATTTGGTGCTCAGCAGCACCCCCAGAGCTCTAAAAGCAGATTTTGGGTGCTGAGCAGCTCCCCCAAAGCTCTGAGCACATTTTGGGTCCCATTTGGTGCTCAGCAGCTCCCCCAGAGCTCTAAAAGCAGAGTTTGGGTCCTCAACAGCTCCCCCAAAGCTCTGAGCACATTTTGGGTCCCCCCTGGTGCTCAGCAGCTCCCCCAGAGCTCTGAGCAGATTTTGGGTCCCCTCTCGTACAGATTTTTGGTCCCACCTGGTGTTTCAGGAGCTCCCTCAGAGCTCTGGGCAGATTTTTGGGTGCTCGGCAGCTCCCCCAGAGCTCTGGGCAGATTTTGGGTCCCTCTTGGTGCTCGGCAGCTCCCCCAGAGCTCTGGGCAGATTTTGGGTCCCACCTGCGCCCCCCAGAGCTCCACCACCACCCCCCCAGCCCTCACCTTGTCGATGAAGGAGGCGAACTTGTTGTTGAGGGTCTTGATCTGCTCCTTCTCCTCCTTGCGCACCCTCTGGATGTTGGGGTCGATCTCCAGGTTCAGGGGGGTCAGCAGGCTCTGGTTCACCGTCACCTCCTGGATGCCGCCGGGGCTCAGGGCCCCCAGTCCCGCGCTCCCGAGGCCGAATCCCGAGCGGACGCTGTAGGAGCCGCTCCCCGCCGTGGAGACCCTCCTGGCCGAGCCCAGGCTGTAGAGGCTGGAGCTGCCGAAGCCGCCGGCGCGGCCGAGCCCGGGGCCGCCGAGCCCGCGGGTGGAGGACACGGAGCTCACCCGGACTTGGGTGACGGCCGGGCCGGCGGCCGAGCGGGAGCTGAAGCTGACGGAGCGGTTCATGGCTGCTCCAGAGGGTATTCCCGAATCCCGCACCTTTGCCAAAGCTCGGGGCGAAGCGGCGCAGGGCAGTGAGGGCGGTGTCCCTCCCGCCGCCCCTTTTATCGGCCGGGCGAGCTGGGCTTGGCCCCGGGGCGACAGCGGGATCGTTTTACTGCCCGCCGAGCTGGGTGTGCCTGGCTGCCTGCCCACCCCTCCGAGCAGGGAAGGGCCGCGGGGAAGGGACAGGGACACACCTGGCGCCGTGTCCCCGCTCGGGGCCTCACCTGGGCACAGCTGGGACGTGGGTGGCACAGATGGGACGTGGATGGCACAGATGGGACGTGATCCCTGAGCTCCCCTGGGCTTCTCTGGCCCCTCCAGGCTCCTCTGGGCCTCTCTGAACCCCTCTGAGCTCCTCTGAGCCCCTCTGAACTTCTCTGGCCCCTCCAGGCTCCTCTGGGCTTCTCTGAACCCCTCTGAGCTCCTCTGAGCCCTTCTGAACTACTCTGAGCTCCTCTGAGCCCCTCTGGGCTTCTCTGGCTCCTCCAGGCCCCTCTGAGCTCCTCTGAGCCCCTCTGAACTTCTCTGAACTCCTCTGAGCTCCTCTGGGCTTCTCTGAGCCATTCTGAGCCCCTCTGAGCTCCTCTGGGCTTCTCTGAGCCCCTCTGAGCTCCTCTGAACCCCTCTGAGCTCCTCTGAGCTCCTCTGAACCCCTCTGAGCTCCTCTGAGCTCCTCTGAACCCCTCTGAGCTCCTCTGAGCTCCTCGGAACCCCTCTGAGCCCCTCTGAGCCTCTCTGAACCCCTCTGAGCTCCTCTGAGCTCCTCTGAACCCCTCTGGGCTCCTCTGGGCTCCTCTGAACCCCTCTGAGCCCCTCTGGGCTCCTCTGAACCCCTCTGAGCTCCTCTGAGCTCCTCTGAACCCCTCTGGGCTCCTCTGGGCTCCTCTGGCCCCTCCAGGCTCCTCTGGGCTCCTCTGAGCCCCTCCAGCCCCTCGAGGCTCTTTGGGCTCCCCGGGCCCAGAGTTACCCCGGCAGAGCCCCCCCCCCCATTCCCCAAGGATTCTCCGTGTCTCCTGATGCCCACCTGGCCGTTGGAATACCCGGGGGGGAACTCAGGGAATACATCTGGAATGCCCGGGGGGAACACAGGGAATACATCTGGAATACCCGGGGGGGAACACAGGGAATACATCTGGAATACCCAGGGGGGAACACAGGGAATACATCTGGAATGCCCGGGAGGGGGAATACAGGGAATACATCTGGAATACCCGGGGGGGAACACAGGGAATACATTTGGAATACCTGGGGGGGAACACAGGGAATACATCTGGAATACCTGAGGGGGAACACAGGGAATACATCTGGAATACCCGGGAGGGGGAATACAGGGAATACATCTGGAATACCTGGGGGGGAACACAGGGAATACATCTGGAATACCCGGGAGGGGGAATACAGGGAATACATCTGGAATACCCAGGGGGGAACACAGGGAATACATCTGGAATACCCGGGAGGGGGAATACAGGGAATACATCTGGAATACCCAGGGGGGAATACAGGGAATACATCTGGAATACCCAGGGGGGAACACAGGGAACACCAATCGATTTTTCCCCTCTGCCAGCGGGTTCTCACAGGCCCGGAGCTGATAAAGGGGCCTCAGTGCCGGGCCCAGCCTGGTTTAATATCAACCAAGCCCGGCCTGGGAGCTCTGCAGGCCCTGCCAGCAGCACCCAGAGGGTGCCCTCGCAGGGGGGGACGTGGTTTTTTCCCGTTGCTCTCCCGTTAATCCCTCAAACAGACCCTCAAAATGGAGGTGGGGGAAGTGGGAGCACAGGGCAGCCCCCAGCATTCCGTCCACTTTGCTCCGAGGGAGGCAGGATGAATGTCCTGGCTGGAATTTCTGGGCTCCTGCTTGGACGTGGGGGGTTCTCTGAGGGAAAGAAAATGAGCCCTGTGGGCGTTGTCCACTTTCAAAGAGTCTCAGGGGGCCCAGAGCTCGTCGCTATCGGGTCATAAATTCCCAGGAAGATTTCCAAGCCTGCCCTGGATGTGTCATCATCCTTCAGCTCTCCCCCGTCAGCAGGGCAGGGAGATAAGGCTGGCTCCAAACTCTGCCTCCAGACTGGCCCCAAACTCTGCCTGGCTCCAAACTCTGCCTGCCTCCAAACTCTGCCTGGCTCCAAACTCTGCCTGGCTCCAAACTCTGCCTCCAGGCTGGCCCCAAACTCTGCCTGACTCCAAACTCTGCCTGGCCCCAAACTCTGCCTCCAGGCTGGCCCCAAGCTCTGCCTCCAGGCTGGCCCCAAACTCTGCCTCCAGACTGGCCCCAAACTCTGCCTCCAGGCTGGCCCCAAACTCTGCCTCCAGGCTGGCCCCAAGCTCTACCTCCAGACTGGCCCCAAACTCTGCCTCCAGACTGGCCCCAAACTCTGCCTGGCCCCAAACTCTACCTCCAGACTGGCCCCAAACTCTGCCTGGCCCCAAACTCTGCCTCCAGACTGGCCCCAAACTCTGCCTGCCTCCAAACTCTGCCTGGCCCCAAACTCTGCCTCCAGACTGGCCCCAAACTCTGCCTGGCCCCAAACTCTGCCTCCAGGCTGGCCCCAAACTCTGCCTGGCCCCAAACTCTGCCTCCAGACTGGCCCCAGCCTGGTCAAAATCCTGCTTTGGAGGGGGGAAGAGAAGCTGCAGAGCCCGACTGCTCCAGGGAAAGGATCTTTTTAAGGAGGGGAAAGGAGGAATTTGAGCCAGACAGGGAGGGATGAGGCAGGATTCCTGCAGGATTCCTCCCGGATTCCTGCTGGCCCCGGGCCTGGCTCTGCTCCCACCATCAAAGGTTGGACTCAACGACCCCAGAGCTCTTTTCCAACCTAATTTATTCTGTGATTAAAAAAACCCAATCCTCTGAGTGTAAAACAACGGGTTCCAGACACCCCCAGCCCTGCTCTGGACCCAGGGAGACAGGACAGGGATCATTCCACCCTGGAATGTGGGACACAAGGCAGATTCCAGCTGCTCCAGGTGCTCCCGAGCCACAGGGACAGGCTGCCCTGGGAACAGCTCGGGGATGTTGGGAGGAAAGAGGGATCGAGGCTGAATGTGGGATTTGGGGTCAGGAAGGAGCTCCCTCCCTGCTGGGGGGTTGGATCCCAGCCTGGATCGGCACAAACAGGGGTTTAAGGGGCACAGCAGGAGCAGCTCGGGCAGGTAAGGCCAGGTAGGGAAACCTGGGCAGGGAAACCTGGGCAGGGAAAGCCAGGCAGGTAAACCTGGGTAGGAAAAGTCAGGCAGGAAAGTCAGGCAGGTAAAGCCAGGAGGGTAAACCTGGGCAGGGAAACCTGGGCAGGGAAACCCGACCAGGTAAACTCAGGCACTAAACCCAAGCACTAAACCTGACCAGGTAAAGCCAGGCAGGTAAATCTGGGCAGGTAAACCTGACCAGGTAAAGCCAGGCAGGTAAAGCCAGACAGGTAAATTCAGTCAGGTAGACCTGACCAGGTAAAGCCAGACAGGCAAAGCCAGACAGGTAAATCCAGGCAGGTAAATGTGGGCAGGTAAATGTGGGCAGGTAAATGTGGGCAGGTAAATCTGGGCAGGTAAACCCAACCAGGCAAAGCCAGGCAGGCAAAGCCAGACAGGTAAATCCAGGCAGGTAAATGTGGGCAGGTAAATGTGGGCAGGTAAACCCAACGAGGCAAAGCCAGGCAGTAAATCCAGGCAGTAAAAGCAGGCAGGTAAATCCCAACCTGCCGGGGGATCAAGTGCCAGGAAGCCAAAGCTGCTCCAGGCAGCTCCAGGAACCCGGCTGAGCCCAGGGGAGCTGAACTTCCCCGGCTTGGGGTGAAGTCCAACCCTCCTGCCCTGCCCCAGGATGGGATCAGAGAGGCCTCACCCCTCCCTGCTGCTCCCTCCGGATTTCCCTCCCTTCCCCCACCCCACAAAGGGAATATTCCCTTCTAAGTCCTTTCTTTAAGCCCTTTAAGGGGAATATTCCCTTCTAAGTCCTTTCTTTAAGCCCTTTAAGGGGAATATTCCCTTCTAAGTCCTTTCTTTAAGCCCTTTAAGGGGAATATTCCCTTTTAAGCCCTTCCTTTAAGCCCTTTAAAGGGCTTAAAATTCCCTCCTAAGCCCTTTCTTTAAGCCCTTTAAAGGGAATATTCCCTTTTAAGCCCTTCCTTTAAGCCCTTCCTTTAAACCTCTCTTTAAGCCTCTCTTTAAGCCCTGCTTTGAGCCCAGGTGAGCCGGAGCAGGACGTGGCCCCGGCGGTGTCCGCGGCTTTGTTGTGTTGTCGTTCCATGGCAACGGCAAATAGTCCCCGAACCGCCCCGACCGGGGAATATTCCAGAGGCTGAGCCCCCGGGATGCGGCTCGGGTGACACCGCGACCTGTTCAAGGCTCCCTGCGGGCGAGGATTCCCGGCCTGCCCTGCTGGGAGTCACATCCTCACATCCCGGGAGCGGGATCGCCGAGCCCCGGCATTCCCGGGGCAGCCAAACCCCCCCGAACGATCGATCCCTCCGGGAAATCCTCGGGAAAACAAGCCGAGCTCGCGGGTCCGGCTGGAAATCACTCCCCGGAATTAAAGAAAAAAAATCCAGTGTGGCCATGGAAAAGGAGGGAATCCCTGCAGGGAAGGGGGTGGAACGGTGTGTGCAGAACCTTGGGATGGCTCCAAAGGCTCCCGCGGTTATCCCGGGGGATTTGTCCTGCTGGGGGCCGGGAATTGCAGGGCTTGGATGGAAAAGTTCTGGGTTTGCACAGGGCAGTCCCTGGGGGTGATCCCTGATCCTGATCCTGATCCTAAACCTGATCCAGCCCCTGGGGGTGATTCCTGATCCTGATCCTGATCCTAAACCTGATCCAGCCCCTGGGGGTGATTCCTGATCCTGATCCT